TACTCCTGTTGACGAAAAAGATGAATGCCCTTTTAACTCTGTTGAAGAAAAGGAAAAGAACCGGAAGTTTCTTCTTTGTCACAATATCGATAACATAAATAAGGATACAAAGTCTTCAAAAATGAAAATAATAATTAAGGATAAGGACAATAATAGTAATAAAAATGATTCGGCAGATTTCACTTACCCTGGAGAAGATGAGGAGCGTTCAACAGTTATGGAAAGATTGCAATGTTCATTTGAACAAAACCACAACAAGACTATGCAAATACTTAAAATGGCAACTAATGACTTAATATGTAAATTAACCAAAAAAGATCAATGCTACTGTAGGGGAAGACCGAACAATCGATTGGAATGCCTGGAGGCAGCAAAAGAATCATGTGACAGAATAGTGCAAACCGTATGTCAAACTACAAAAATGTTAAGTAAATTTACGAAAGAGACAATAGATAGTTATATTGGTTCTGAAGAAAAACCTGAACCTCAGGTACCACCGAAGTGTAAGCTGCGTAAAACAAGTGGAAACCCATTACCTGAAGACTTCATAACGCTTATGAAAGAATCCGGCAAAGAAATAATCAACGATATAGCTAACAAAAATATGTTTGATGATGAAAAATTGCAGAAAAATAAACTTGAAACTATAATAAATTCAGCTACACAAGTATTCAACAATATTAAAATAATATCTGAGGAGGAATTCGATACTGTGAAAACTATAAACTCTATAAAGGAAACCTGTATTAACTTGATTGATAAAACATCAACCATATTAGGCAGCAATATAATCGATAGCCCAGATAAGAACGAGCCGAATACTGTGCAGGGATATGTTAAAGAAGTAACAAGTGGAGTAATAATATTCCAGGATGAGAATAAAACAAAAACTGATCCAGAAGAAAATCCCCTTGCACAAAACTTGACAGATTCGTTACATTCCATTTTATCTTCTTTAAGCAATACATTTGAGGAATTAGGGCTAGCGGATTCTTCTGAAAGTAACTTAGATCAGAAAGAGACATATTCAGAGAGTAAAGATTCTTTTACACTATACAGCATGTTTGCTTCATTAAAAGATAAAATATGTTCTATATTTAATGATGATCAGAGCGAAACTACATACAGTGTAAGTTCTCATACCAGCTCTTCTGTTGGAGCAGACCGATGACGATCACATGAATTAAACGTTTTCAAAAGAAATAAACTGCTGTGTAATCTCCATAATGTCTCTATTCATTGCTCATATTAAAGATGATTTTGGATCATGCTGAACAGCCCAGAGTCAACTAGAAGTAAAAAGTATCAACTTATATATCCAACTATCACCTTAATTAAGTACACTGTAAAAAAGGTTTTGACCATATTTTATTGATTATCGTCAAAGCATTGTTAGATTTATCATTCAATAGGGGAGAAAACATACAAGTACTCACGTCACTTGTAAGCACAAATCCATCCAATGTCGATGCATCATCGTCAACTCTTGAACATGGCATAGCTGGAGACAAGTCTCATATAAAATTAAACTTTAGATTATTGTTCACCACAATGGCCAATACGTCTTTGAAAAGTTTTGTGATCTTTTTCAAACAATTAAGTTTCAGCTATTTTGTACTTTAGCGTCATTATTACCATCACGACCATCATCAACATTCTATTATAGCCCAGTTTTAATTTTTATTTATTTATTTACTCATATTAAGTACAATAATTCATTGTGTTGCTCTTTTCGTAACGTTTATGTACACATCATCTTATACATACGGATCAAATTTTGTTTATACAAGTATATAATACAAATAAACTTACAAATAGACAAAGCGCGTCACAAATAATGACACAAAGTAAAAACAATATCGTGATATTTAACAATCTTAATAAATTAAACATAAATAAATGTATAATATAATATTTCAATAATCATTAAAATAGAAACAAAAGTAAAAACTAAAAAAAAAACATGGTTGTTTTATAAAATATCGCATTCTTTGCTAGCCATCAAGTTATATATAAGCTTTGTCTAGTATGTGCCATTTTGGTGTTCAGCACATTGATACCAGACGCATCAATTAACGTAAGGGACATTTTGTCGAAGTTACATATATCATTGGATTCGGAAGTTCCCGCTCTATCGATTGATATTATTAAAATTTAGAAATGCCCAGTGGTTTAAAATATAGCATGTCATAGATATGTATACTTTAAACCTCTAGGTATTCCTAAATCTTTCGATTATAGCATGAAAGAAGAGGAAATTCTAAAAAACTTTGCTCTAGACACACACACTAGAGACAGTAAAAAGTTATAGACAGATTAAAAAAAAATAATATCGTTTTTTGGCTCTCCTAAAAAACCGTGGTTTGTCCCTTACATTAATTGATACTTCTGGTGTCGATATGTCAATTTTCTGATAGCAGCTTTTCGAGTATCGTCACTTCACCTTACATCACCGTTAAAGATTAATTCGAAACTTAGGTGCCAAAAAGAATAGGAACGGAACCCAGGACCTTCTTCTCCCAATTACCGTATTTTGACAATTCTACACATACTCGCAAAGATCGAGGAAGAGGTTTTGTGGCGTGGCGGACAGAACTCTCTTTTTAATGTATAGAAAATTTTGCTACACTCTTTCACTAATTAAAACTAGTATTACTATACTAGGCTTCAACAACAATGATTGCTCCAGATGAAAAATTATAACATGATTCTCAAATCGAGTTCTCAAGTTTTCGCAATTGTTACACATAGGAAATTAAATAATATTTTTGGATCTAAATTAAATTGTAAGTATAGTTAAAAATAGGGTGGTTTGCGATTAATATTAGTCATAATTGGCTGGTGACTTCTCTGTTTGCCGTGACCATGGAAACTGTAAAGGCCCAGGAAAATAGTTAAATTTTCATCTTCACAAAATTAATTTTCTAAATTTTGAGATTTCTAATGGCGGAATTACTTTTAAATCTCAGAAATAAGCATAAAATTTGAATTCAATGCTTTAAAGATCAAGATCAAAATTATATATTCAGTTAAATTAACCAAACAAGGGTTGGTAAATATAATAGCTAGCATTTACCAACGCTTCTATACATTTTTACTAACTTAGGAACTTATGCTAGAAACAACTTAAAACTAAACTCATCAAAGTCAGATCTAAAAAGTACACGAAACAAATTTTTTAAAACTTTATAAAATGAAAAATGCATTTTCACGTAATTATCACATTTGCCTTTTTTTATACTCACGATACGCAATAGGCCGTGCCATTGCCAACTTGAATTAACATCAAAGAAAAGAGAACTAATAACAAAAAGCGTACATAATAACTGTAACCTTTTTAGAAAAAGAAAACCGACTTTAAAAGTTCATGGAATTACCTACATCTGTTTGCGATTGGAAAGTGCGCGAAACCTAATTGATTGAGGAATATTGACTTCACATTTATAAAAATACTGAGGTACCCTTTTTCCAACAAAAAAAGAATCATCGAAATTGGTTCACAAATGCCACAAAAAAAAATACAGTCGAATTGATAACCTCCTCCACATTTTTGAAGTCGATTAAAAATATAATAATACATTTGCTTTACTTCAAGAACTTTACATGTATAATGGTATAATAGTAACTACTTAAAATGAGTAGATAAAACTAACTGTAAAAAAAGGAGACAAAGAAATCAATGTATATCCGCTCACGCGATTCATGCGTCTCTGGAAGCATACCACACCTAGAGGTGTTGATTGATGGTGATGATTTTATACCGATTTATCGGATATCGAAGTTATAACAGGTAAAAGAACTAATACTAATTGATATTTCGGTAACTACTCTAGCAAACCATAAAGTTTTTAATGCATGGGTCTGTCATTTAAAAAAAATAAACAACTTCAAAAATACGTCACGACAATCGTGTGTGTTATTGTGTGGGCTGGTGATGTCGGTGTTTATTTATTGAAAACATACCGTAAATTGCATTTTTTAAGTTTACCCTGAATATAAATGTTTATAAACTATACTTTAAGGAGTAATTTCATGGTAAACATTAGAACCACTCAAACGGAATATTATCATATTTACCCAAGTACACCAAAAATTTCATTAGTGCTTTTTAAGTGCAGGATTTACGGTGTATTACTGCATTTTATTTCAGATGTTTTTGCTGTAGTACGGAGGGTATTTATTTAGCAATGCAGAATAATAATTTTTATTTTTTTAAACTTGTACTTAAACTGAATCCTTTTCTAATTTGCGAAACCAAATAGCCGCCATTTTGCGGTAGGATGAGCGCATCGCGTGAGCGGTTATAATGAAATGAGTCCTATTAGGACAGTCAATGTCAATATCCGGTCAGTCACCATATTTATTTATCTATTTGCATAACCTTGAGATGGGAGAATATGATCCGAAAACTGTATTTCGAAATACAGGAGTAACGGGAAGCTTTGTTAACGAGAGGCAGTAGATTTTATGGGTAACATATAGAATATTATTTATATCTGTAAGTTCAGGGACTGGAAATATTTACAACATAATACAACATATGCCACATTCTGCAATTCGACATCTCTTTCATTCATCTAGAACAGGAATCTGCCTCTTGAACAGTAATAAATGTTTCAAGCGTGCTCAAGCTGTACCTCAACAAAATTCAACATTCTATCAACTAAATTCAAGGTGAATGTATCAATTACTTAAAAATCATAATTGTAAGATTAATTTTGATCAAATGTGCTGATATTGTGAACACTGATTACATATAAATTTATCGATTTAGTTACACTTATAGATTATATTAATCAATTTTACCTATCATGTTGGCAATGATTTCACCTACTATCAATGAACACAGCAGAAATAAATTAGTTAAATTCACTAAGTTCCATTTGAGTACATTTTTATGAATCCGATTAACTCAGATCCATATCCAAACCAACAAAATTAGACATAATTAATCGAAACAATCAAATACCACTTACAGAGTATCAACTATCTGGACCGAGATATTAGAAGATGAACTTCCAAAAAACCTAAGAACGTGGATAAGATAACGTCAAGCCATTTTCAAAGAACAGCTACTCGATAAAATAGCCTTCACGATTTCTGTTAGATCAAAGGTGTATTATGTGGACAAAAGTTGATTAATGTCAACAATAAAATTGTACTGAAAGAAACGCGATGGATTCTAACGACGTCGTATACATAGAACATTAAGTAGAAATACACAAAAAAATGCACAAGCTTAGTAATGGCAGTGTAGATATTATGGGATACGTTGGGTAAACTCTATGTAAACAAAATGCTAATAAATAGGAACAACCACCGGAACTATGAAATATTGTGCGAAGGCCCACAATCAAACAACTAGTTGTCGCACGCATAAATACGCACCATATTTTGGTAAATTAATCCAAACTTATCCAAAAGAAAACAAAACAAAAACGACGCAATGGATCACAATATGCATACCGAACAAGACTCTCCCCCAGACAATAGGAGCGACGATGATTTTTTGTTAGGACCTGCAGAATCCATAACTGTAAAAAACATAATATGCAATAAACCAAAACATCCATGTGATCCCGTGCCAAAATGCCCAACAACGCCTTGCGATCCATCTACTGTAAGACTGCAATGTTGTGCTAAAGGTGTTTCTTTCAAATTAAGTTGCACAAAATTGCCGCCAGACTGTAACAACCCAGAAGCTAGATACGAATGCGAATTAGTAGACGAAGGTAATGATATAGATTACAATATTATGGCATCATGTGATCTGAAATGTGAACGAATACAAGCTATTCACAGCGATCATCCTATTATAATCGAAGATGACTCTAAAGTTGCCCACATTAAAAAATTGCCAACCATGGTATGTTCAAAGGACAATATGCGGAAAGTGACCCTCTTAAATGATACTTCAATATTAAACAATATTGACGCAAAAAATAGTTTAACGACTGAAAATTTAAATAACCCACTATTAACTTACAATGATAAAGGCCAGGAAGAGAATCTTGAAAGCTTAATTGGCAATGATGATAATGGTAAACGACCATTTGAGCAGTGTAAAAAAGATGATAATAATAGCCGTAAACACGTTGACTGCAGTGACAAGACAAACGAGCTATCTTTTAACCCGTATAATGAAAATGAAGAGAATCTTAGTGGAAATATTACTTTACTATGTGCATCTCCATCTGACCCTCATTCGTTATCTTCTTTTACAACTCCTATATATCATGAAAACAGTGACCAGCTGGAGAACAATAAGTTAATCTACGCATGTCGTTCAAAGACAGGTAAACCCGGGAACACGTGTACCACAAACTCAGATGAATCAGTAAAATTTGATTGTATCAAAAATGACCAGTTTTATACGCGTGAAAAAAAAGTTTATAAATGTATTATACCAAATCATCCCCCAGAACAGGAAGAGAATAAAACGTGTAAAAAAGAATCACTTGTCGATCAAATGGCATCTTCGTTTATAGAGCACCATAATAAAACAGTTAAAATAATAAAAGTAGCAGCGAATGACTTATTTTGTTTAATAACCAATCCATCAAAAGATCCTAGTAAACACGATAATGATTTGAACTATATCAATGCAGTAATTGAGTTTACTAAAGATACGATTAGCGCAGTGACTACCCATGCTAATAAGTTCATTAACTCTGACCAAGAGTGCGAAGATAAAGGGTCCAAAACTTCTAAACCCCAAAGTGGTTCAAACCCACCTGAAACATTCGATCTGGCTTCATCAAATAACTTAGTTGAAAGTGCCAAGGAAAAAATTAATAATTTAGTTAACAAAAATATACCTGACCAAGAACAATCGCAAAACGATAATAATCAGGCACAGGACGACTTGACACTTGAAACTGTGATCTTAATAAATGAGTCTTCTCAGGGTAATTCTTCTCGTGATAAAGTGTACGCAACTGCAAAACAAATAAGCAATGACCCTTCACACCAGTTGACTGGAACTTCAACTTCACTGACCAATGAGATCAAGAACAACTTAACTAAAGATGTTTTTGAAAATAGTTCTTCATATAAGATTTTACCTCCTTCAAAAATGGATTTCGAGAGCGATGAATATAATGATGACAGTGATGAGTCAGCACCTAGTAATATATTTACAACACTTAAAGATAAGATACGGGCTGTATTCAATGATCATAATAATCTTGATAATACCAGCGCTAATTCTAGCGGGACTAAATTTTCTGAAGACAGCGATGACGATCAAACGCCAAAACCTGTTCATTAAATAAATACCTATTTACACCTACTCAATGTGTATTTACTGTGCTTCTTAAGGACTCAATTTGCGGTCAAAACCCGTGGGACAATAATTAGATTTTTAAAGTACGAGGCAAATAAGTAGACGAGCCACTTGATGGTAGGTGGTATTATTTTTTTATACAAATGTAAGTGCGCATTTGACGTCCATCTCACCTGACCTGAGAGTTGTCTTAAGACATAAGCAACACCAGAGGAGCTACCTATACGTTGACAGTCTTAGAGAGCCCTGTTTACTTAGAGAGCACTTTTTAAAAACCCTGTATCATATTACAAAGGAGAACTTTAGGAGGGACCCATTCCAAATCTTGCATGTTCGAAGACGAGATACCCACGTGATCTTAGATGCCAGACATCAATGATGTAGAAATGGGCTCTATTCCTTTAGCGGAACTTGCAATAGAATAGTGACGATAGGTCAAAGAGTTGTTTAAACTATCCAACCACAAAAAATCTATGATAATATATTTGACTAAAGTCTGTGGTCGGGGTTTGATTCCCACTAAGGGATCTGCAACATTATGCCTTGAAATTGTATGCAGGGAGTTACCACGTTCTGAAGCGGAATCAACTTGGCGCGACTATATTATTTTACCACACGTTAAGCCGATTCGCCGTCGACGCCGCCGTTTGAGCATCGATGTGGCCTTTTGGCAGCAGATTCTGCCGTTCGGGCGTCAACTGCCAAGTTCGACCATCGTCTCAGATCGAGGAGCATGAAATGTGGCCTTGACGTCCAGTCTCTCAGTTGACAAGCAACCGTTCGCTCACTCGATTTTAAATTATACTAAATATTTTATAGTCGTATAATTAGTGATGAGACGTACAAGTCGTGCGCCTGATGATAAGCGACACGCCTGTCCATAACAGTAGCAGTACCACTCAGAGCTTTAAGATCTGAGGGGCACTGCCACTGCGCCCGTCACCCTGATACATAAGTTGACAAGTCCCATGTAATTTCACCAGCACCCTTACCCTTCAAAACGGGAACACAGTAATGCTGACATTACTGCATTACTGCTTGGCGATAGAAATAGGTAAGGTTGAACTCTTTCACAAGGAACTCTACTGCTGCTAATAAATTAAATTAGTAATATGAGGACACAGACATATACTCTCCGATAGTATGTCAGTGCTACAAGCACTGAATAGCTATAACATAGACTCAGGGCTCATTTATTTTTTATATGTATGTTAGTCTGTAAGGTATTTGTTATATGGGCCTTAGTTGCCTGAAATAAATGAATAAATAAATAAATAAAAAAAAAATAAAAAAAAATAAAAAATTATGAATGCCATCACGCACTCATGGAGGTATGTATATACAAAACCACGTAACCCTACAGTGGATTAAAGGACACAGCGGAAAAGGGTCGGAGATGGACACTGTAGGACCAGACCCCATAGTATCCCTCCCCTACCAATGGTTCAGAACAACTATACACAAAGGCACAAAATCGTCACATAATAATGCATGGACGACCCTTACGGTCTGTAGACAAGCGAGGGAAGCACTCCCAACGCTCAATGCCAGTCTATCTCGCATATTTATTAAACTCAAAAGGCAAGAGCTTCGCACTCTAACTGCCGCCCTAACGGGTCATGGTCCATACAATAAACACCTTTTCAATTTAGATATCACAGACAGCCCTCTATGCAGAGCGTGCATGGAGGGGGAGGAATCGGCTGCGCTCCGGCGTGGCCAACTACAGGGCAAAGTACCTTGGAGTGCCAAGGTCGCTCCCCGAAGTCTTCAGCAAACCGAGGAGGCTGCTGAGATTCCTGGAGGAGCTTGGGTGGCACGAGTAGGACCCTGCACCCACCACACGCAAAATAGGCGCCTTGACGTCGAGTTGCGGACACCAGCCCGTTACACCAAGTACCAAGGACAGACATATCTAATAAGACACCACAAGTACCGCGATCTATATGAAAACCAAGCGTGACACATTTTGTGTACCTCTGATGACATCACAAGTGCTAGTTAGTGATTAGAAACCTCCTTCGGCACTAAAGCGATTGAGTAAATCGAAGACGCGATCGCAGCACGTATTTATTTACAAAAATGATTTTTGCAAGTATTTTGTATTTAAGAAGCCTTGAAATATTAATATAGTAAAATAATATCAGGATCAGATAATTAAGTCGTTTATTAATACGTGTTTTGAAAAAAAAGTTGCTCCGAAAAACTAAAAAAAAACAACACACTTTACAAAATATTTTTATAACATTTTCTAATGTCTGTCCATTGACTTACAATTATATGGACGTCGGGTCCGCGCTAAAAAGTGTCCGAACTTATAGGGCGTTAAAATCGTATACAGAGCGTCATTCACGCTCTAGTCTTCGTTTGTTCGACTGTCAGCGAAGCAAGCAAAATTAGACAGTACTGCGATGATATTACAATTTAAATTCAACGTTTTAGCTTTTTCATATTCCTTTACATGTCACTACGTTTAAATAGGTTGACTTGGGACATTTTTTTCGTGGTTTTTGTATTAGACCCGTCGTCCATTATTTGTAAGTCAATGAGTCCGTCCCCTTGTTTCCCGAAAACGATTAGAATCGAGAACTGTGTGGCATCAAGTGGACATCACTAACCGTAAGATTTGACCAAAAACGGGACGAAACTGCCGTACCACGATACTGAATCGCCTGCTTGTTGTTTCTTATATATATATAAACGATCTTTCAAAAATAATAAATAAGGAATATATACTATTCCCCGACGGTATCTCAGTTGTTTTTTTATTTTCTAATATAATCGATGTAAATAAAAATCTGGATTTGACTTTAAAAACATAGTGGCTTAAGAAACATAACTTAGAATCATTGTGTTGGTAGGTCAATGCTTAGAATTAAATATAAATGAAAGAAAATTAATACAGTTCAAAACGTACCAAAAAAACTGCTTTAAATATAGACTGTAAATTTAATAATACAATTATCGAATCGGAAAACTCGGCTTCTTTATGGGGTATCGAGATAGATACTGACATTGATTGGAAGCCACGCACCAAAAACTTGCTAACAAAATGTCTACATTTACCTACACCTTGTTCCATTTGAAGAAAACAATAGATTTTAAAAAGGCCTTAAATACATACTGTGCGTACGCATATTGTTGGCTCCAATACGGGGTAATATTGTGGGGTAAATAGTAGAAATGTAAAAGATATTTTTGTAAATCAAAAAAGATGCATTGGAATCCTAGCCGATATGAATAAAATGGACTCGTGTCAACTCCATTTTATAAAACATAATTTGTTAACCCTATTCAAATTTGTATGCAAAAATATGAGCTTATATTCTTGGATATTAGAGAATAAACGTAATGATAGAAATAAATATAAATTAAAAGTACCTTTATCTAAATTAAAATTAGCCCGTAACAGCCCACATTTTACGGTGATAAAAATTTATAACAAAATTCTAATCAAAATCAAAAGCATTGAAAAATACGTAACGTTTATAAAACATTTAAAATAAATACTAATAAAAGAATGTTAATATTGTATAGAAGTATTTTTTTTCTTTCAGACAAATTTGAATAAAATAAAATAACTTAATTAGATAAAATAACCTACTACAAAAATACTACGATATTTTAAATGAATTTTCAAAGGTAAATGTCAAACGATAATGCGTTAAATGTAATTACCATAAAGTATAAATGATTAAATTGCTATAAAATATTTAGATCTCAACAGAAATAAATTACTAATAAATGTTGTTAGTTAATAGCTAATGTTTAAGTTTTTAAGATTGTGTAATTATGTTGGAAATTTATATTGATTTAAAGAATAAGTGCCCGCTGCCCTTCTTTACAACGCCCGTACAGGGTATCATATAATAAGGACCTATAATTATGTTATTTAAGATCGTTGTATACCTTTTACGGAGTAATAAACTGAAATTGAAATTGAATGCAATAAACGATTTTGACGATGTGCATTAAGATACCTATCAATACTTGTGATTCATTATTAAAGTATCAAAATATATAAAAATAAAATAAAAAGATAATTGAGTACAGTCTGTAGAAGCTGGGGTTATAAAGTGGATATATGTTTTGTTTATAACATTTTCCTGTATTTCGCTTCAGATGTATGTTCATAGTAACAGAAAAAAACAAGTTCTCAGTTTGTTCCCAAAAATAGTGAATTGTAGTGTAGTGAATTGTTTCAATAACAGAATATCGATAATATGCCTGCTTACTAGAACAACTCTATCTCAAAATAATCGTTATCAACAAACATCAAAATATACTAACAAACAGGCAAT